CTTGCTGAAGTGAAGAAACAGATTGACAGAGCCAGAAGAGTACCCAGAAGTCACCTACTACAGGACAGGCCCAACAAAGAAAGTAACAGAACGCCACTAGCCGTCACCTTCAGCCCCCAACTAAAACCTCTCCAGCGCATCATCAAGAATCTACAACCTATCCTGAAGGATGATCCATCACTCTCACAGATCTTGGGAGACAGGCCAGTCCTTGCTTACAGACAGCCCCCAAACCTGAAGCAAATACTCATCAGCAACCACACACCACACAACAAAACACTAACCCAGGAACCTATCTTTGCAACAAAGCCCGTTGCCAACTCTGTCCACATATCTATTCAGGGGACAACATCATAGGACCTAATCACATCAGCCACACTATCAGAGGCTCGTTCACCTGCACATCTACCAATGTGATATATGCCATCATGTGCCTGCAATGCCCCTCTGCCATGTACGTGAGCAATTAAGTTCTGCCTAGTGAAATTTTGTGTAGTTTTAGCTGAATAAGGTGTCCTTAACTTCCTGTCTTAAACTGCCACCCAGTGTCACTTTGTGCTGGTCTGCCAGCCACTGCTCTCCACCCCAGAGGTAGCTGCATTGGAGCAGTGGGCAACGTGATTTCTATGGGGACAAAGTTAATACATTCTTTCTATGGGGACAAAGTTAATACATTCATTTGGGGATCCATTTGTGACCCAAGAACCCCTTAATGACAACTGGCAAGGCGGGTTACAGGAATATCCTGATTCTGGGTATGTACATTATGGGTCACCAAAGAATGTTATGGGAGTTCTTACTGGTCATTCATATCATTGTGAAATGTATGTACAGATACTATTGGAGTTATGTACATATACTGAAAATATGTTTTAAAGTCTGGATCAAGGCAGAGCTGACAAATAGGCTTTTTGTCAGACAAGGGATGTTTACTGACTGGGTGCGCTGTTGAAAAGTAAATTAAGTATTGTCTCATTCACAGTGGGTCTCCTGTCACCTGTCTATGCTGAATGCCGATGAAAGATTGTAAGAATTTCAGAAAGGAACTAACAGGTAGAAAAATACAGAGGGAGAAGAGAACCTTATAGGGAGATACACTTCAAAGGTTTGCTGGACTATAGTTGGGGAACAAAAAAAGACACCCCAGCATCCTGCACCTAGGAAGTAAATGGGCAGTGCATTTGTTATACCAATAGAATAAAAACCAGCAGGATCTTATTAAGAGGGATAAGGCAAAGATGCCACATTTATTGTAAATATACTGATAAAGCAAAAGATAAAAGTAAACAACGTTGTTTGACTACTTATTTCTTATACACACACACACACACACACACACACACACACACACACACACACACACACATATATATATATATAGAGAGAGAGAGAGGTTTATTCACACAATCATTCATTCAAGTTCTGTATAGGTGTTATAGTTACCAGCCTAGAAGTTGCTTATGCCAAGTTACTGGCCAGGTATCTTGCTTATGAGGATGGAGCCAAGTCTGTGTCAGGTGCACCTGATGATCCTGGAGGTTGGCAGTAGAACCAGAGACTCAAAGTCATCAGTCTTTAGAGTCCATTCTTATAGGAATTAATTCCTATGTTAGTCTATGGGAGCTGTTTTATTCTGCTGTTGCTGACTTAATCAGCAGATGGCACATTTCTGTTCGAAGTGGCACATTCCTGGTGGCTCCACACTGTCCAAAGTTTGTGTTTCTCATCCTTCCAGGTGATGGGGTGGATCCCAGTTTACCCTCAGGGGGTTGTCTGGTGGTCCTACTCAACACATTCTTCGGCCGATGGATACTTCCTTTTTAGGCTGGCACCTCCCTAACCATCCATGTATATCAAGCATTCATCAGCATACATTCCATACCTTAACCATACTTTAATTTACTGTTTCCACCACGTTTAGGATGTGTGCTAATTTATTTGAGACTTCCGGCCCTTTAATCACAGAAGGTGGGGGTCTGTCCTAGGAGCCTTTGAATGAAGTGAAAGTCACTTAACAGCTTATAGTGTTTGTTTACATTGTATTAATTACTTTAAGAACAAAGTCAATTAACTTGTTTGTAAGTTTTACATAATAATAAAGTATCTTTCACAGGATAGATGTAATCAATGGTTTCGACAGACAGTAGCTTACAAGTTTTAACAGAAGACCCAAGAGATTTTTGTACTTGGTGAAACTGTTGGATTTTAAAGTGTGGGGGACAAATTATTGGGGGGTCACTGTCACTTGGGGGAATCACTGTTAGTACCTTCTTTTATATCCCTACACATTTACATCCATGAAAATGGGATCACAACCAGATTTGGTTGGAAACATAGCAGGAGACTTTGGGCGAGATAAGACTTCTTTAGACAGGAGATTAGCCTGTTAAGTTTAGTCTCTATGATTTTATGTGTAACCTTTTGTTTCTCTCACCATTACTCCTAGGTGCCGACTTTCTTAAACACACCCCTGACCGACAAAAGTTTTACCGACAAAAGTGCAGTGTAGACATGGCTGTGTCGACACTGTCACTTTCAGAGCAAAAAGTTTAGTCATTTGGGGGGGGTGTTTTTTCACACCCCTGACCGACAATAGTTTTACTGATGAAAAGCGCTGGTGTGGACAGCACTGTGTTGGCGTGAGACACTCTCCCGCTGACAAAGCTCCCGCCCCTCATTGGGGGTGGCTTTCTTTTGTCGGCACGAGAGCGCTCTCCATCCTGCCGACAAAGAGCGGCTACACCGCATACCTTACAGCAGCACGGCTGCAGCAGCACAGTTGTGCTGCTGTAAGGTGCACAGTGTCGACATAGCCTGAGTTAACACTGACATCATAACTGAGGGTACGCCTACACTACCCGCCGGATCGGCGGGTAGTGATCGATCTCCGAACGTGCTCCCCATCGACTCCGGAACTCCACCGCTGCGAGAGGCGGAAGCGGAGTCGGCGGGGGAGCGGCAGCCGTCGATCCTGCGCCGTGAGGATGCGAAGTAAGTCAATCTAAGATACATCGACTTCAGCTATGCTGTTCTCGTAGCTGAAGTTATGTATCTTAGATCGATCACCCCTCCCCCCCCAGTGTAGACCAGGCCTTAGCTTCACATTTAGCACCCCTTCAAGATGAATTGGAAGAGTTCTCACATCCTCGGGTGGTGCTGTTTCTTTCTTTGTGACTCAATACACAGACATCTTATTTGTATTGTGATGGCTATCACCACTTCATTGCTAGAAGGCACTGAACTGAAACGGGATCATACTATCCTAGTATCCAGAGCAGTAACGAATCACTATTGCTCTTCAAACCACAAGGTAAATATGTAAGTTGCTAAAACCCAGCCATTCGCTTACCTCTCCTGTTTGGCACGGTCACTGACTTCACTGCAAGAAAAAGTACAGATGGATACAACACATGGTTCCAATGGGGGTGTCCAACTGAACAAAACATAGTTCCAGGTGGCACAAAAACTGAAATTTCTGTTTTCTCTCCAAAACAAAATTCAGCCCAAAATGATTTTTTTCTTCTTCAGTTTTTCATTTAGTTAGGGTTTGGGTTGTTCTTTTTACCTCCTTTCAAAGATTTTAAAACAAAACTCCCTAAATTTCAAAACAAAAACCATTTTGACTTTTTTTTTTTAATTCGTTTCATTATTTATTTAGATGAAACTGGTTGCTGCATTCCACCGGACTTGGGGAATGGTTTCAGTCACCCTGAAATTGCATTTTTTGGGGGAGGGGGGAAATGAACTCAGCTCTACGTGACACCCCATCCCACTCTTGTGGTCATTAATATTTCCATTCTTCTCACCACAGTCATCAATAATTCCAAGTGTGGATGATAAAAGTTAATCTCTGCCTTCTCCAAAGTAATTATGGCCCTGGGGAGGGAGACATCTGATGAGATACCAGAGAGTGACGGTCACGGCTCCTTTAAGTGCTTTCTCTGCCAGGGCACTGAGCTTGGCGAGGATTGGCAGGGGAAAGGTTCTGAATTCAACTCCCTCGTGGTTCACCCTGTGGGAGTTCTCTGCATATTTGTTATGAGCTGGCAGGACCTGAGAGATGCAGAAAACATGAGTGTGACCGGGGAAGGGAGGGGGTGGAGAAGCAGAAGTTAAAGGTAAAAGTCTTTGATGTTGCCAGTCTGGATATGGGAGAAACACCTAGCTGCCTTCACGTTCTGTAGACTCCACAATAAGCCCTGAAAACTTGGCATTTGGGTTTATGTTTCTCATGGGCTTTATTGGTTTGCCTCAGGAAGCCATTTATGGGCTGAAATTACAAGATCTGATCTTCTCATGATCTTTCCACACACCAAGAACTGAAATGTGGCAAGAAGACCAGGTGAGCCCAATAATTACTCGCTGGGAAAAAAAACTATACACAAATACAAATAGGCTCTGAATCTACCTGATCCCATATTCCTTCTAAAAATGCAAATATTCCCTTTTATTCCCTGCTGAGAGACCTACCCGATTCTCCTTTATGATTTGGACTATGTCTCCAGACACAAAGATGCCAATATTTCAAGCTTATTAATGGGTGGTCAAACAGGGATCCACCAGGCAGTACACTGGGGCAGAGGGATTAATTTCTGGTGGGATAGAAGAGGGAGGGGGGAAGGATTTTTTTTTTTTTGCAGAAAAATAAGGACTGTCCCTCCTAAATATGTACAATTGGCCTGTGTCAGAGGCTAATCGCAGGGTTGGGCTGGGCAAGGTGTATTAAGGTGAACTCTGCTTTCTCTCCGTAGTTATATATTAAACTCTATTGTTTTGAATGAAAGGCCAAATTCTGCCCTGCCTTACAATCCACACATGCCTCCTTCATTTGAGCTCAGGGCATCTCCTGTGCATGCAGCTACCTGTCCATGCCAGAGGCTAATCAAGAAATCCATGAAAATATGTGACTTGGAAAAACTAATGTGGAGGCTAACAAGGAGGTAGATTTATAGGAGACTGTCCAGCTGTATACATGGCCAGAACACATAGTAATCACTTACTGACTGAGAGGATGAACTGTCCAAGAGATAGCGGTCCTCAAAATCCCACTGAGGCTCGGACTTGAAGTCGGCAACCCTCAGCTTTCTCTTTTCTGTCACTGGAGGAGCCTGAGTCGTGACATTCTGCATTGTGGGAGTGGCCACATTCCGCACCAGGAGGCTGGGATGAACCTTGCCTTTTGTAGAGGGTCTCAGAGCACCGGGCTTAGTTGACACAGGGGCCTTTTTTGGTTTTGGTTTTGCTTGGTCTTGGTATATGGTCTTTGCATTGGCTTCCTTCCCCTTGGGTGCTGGTGAGGCACTCTTAGCCTGGGTTTGCATCTTGTTGGATGCTGATATTACAATCTTATCCTCTGCTTGCTCCTCCATGGCCTCTCCTTCATCTGCTGCCATTCTCTTAACCATATCTTGCTCCAGCCTATTGCTGTCTGTGTCCAGTATCACATTTAGCTGGCTCAAGGAATCCCCTTCAACGGGCACAGTGTGGAGCTTGTTCTGTTGGATGTCCATTTCTTTGGTATCTTGCAAATAAATGACTGGCCTAAATGTAATCAAAAGAAAGGCAAATACACCACATGTACTTCAGCCGAATGACACCCCCTCCATCCCCTTTACCACATTAATGGCTCTTACCCTCCAAACGTTTTATGACACTACTGAGTACAGCAGTTACCCTCTCCAGGGCTCCTCTTTTGTAACCTTTACTGAGTTTCTGCAGGGAATTGTCATTATGCGTTGCTCAAAGGAGACCTGCCTGAACTTGTTTATGATTTAGCCATAAAATGGTTATTCAGCTCCTTGGACCCACCAGACATGAATCATGGGATTTGCCCCCCTCCACCCATGTAATAAATCAGACGTAATTCAGACTATTATACAGATGGTTTTTGAAATATTTATGACCAGCGGTAGCTGGTAATCAATGTAGGGGCAGGGAGGAACCTATTTGCAGCTAGGCACAATCCATGGCAATCATCCCAGGTCAGTGACGCATCCCACATGAAAGAGACAGGACTATGGTGTAGTAAACAGAGCAGAACCTTTATTCAGGATACTGGACAAACCCTCTACCTGTAGCCCCCTTGCTCTCCAGCTTGCATTCTCGCTGAGTAATGTTGATGCACTTCACAGTTCCCAGCCAGAATGGGTCTGACTCCTGGTCCAGATTTGGCATTCATGGACTCTACTGCGGGCATCGCTGCTTTTCAACACTTAGAATAACAAGCATGATGTTGGGAAGAGTCATCTGATGTCTAGAAAAACTTCTGTGCAGGCTACAGGGATACCAGCTACATACTGCTTAACCTAACAAGGTGCAAATGGGGGAAACTAGGCACAATTCTGAGATGCTGGGTGTCCCCTACTCATACTGAAGTCAATAGAAGGGGATTGTGCTCAACACCTGGCAGGATCAAGCCCCATGTGGGACCCAGAGCCAAAATCAGGGACACTAGAAAGTGATTAGAGCAAGATAAGGTTGGAATGAGGTAGGATTTGTTCCTGTAGCGGAAATGGCACTTTCTATGCAGTCTGCATTTCCAAAGTATGGAACGTACAGCAGTCCGAGTCAGAGAACACTGACTGCCCCTTCTTTGCAGCGACTAGTGACCTCTACTGAGCTGGTGCAGAGCACTGACAAATGCTTGTTTTAAGGAGAATCATCACTAGAGCCCTGCATGGTTCCAAAATTTATATTCGCATGCGATCCACAAACAAGGTACTTGGAAGCGGATATCCACAGATGTAAAGCTGATATCCACAGATTTGCAGGGCTCTAACGATCAGTCCCAATGTAACCAGGTACATCCCAGCTTTCCAGTGAGCTCAATGGAGCATTCGTGGGCAACAACAGCACAGCAGAAGGCCAATAAAAGGGGTAAAGACACAGCACCAAATCCTGCCCTTTGGGGATTACATGTGAAAATCCATCGTGCATGTGTACTGTAAATGCTGCGCTAGCCCAGGGCAGGGAGTGGCAGCAACTGGATGGGCCTGCCATACAAGGGGCCTAAAACCATCTGCAAGCAATGGGGCAAAGCAGCCTGAAAGTCACAAAGCTTCATCTTTCACATAAATGGGCTTCAGGGCTGCTGGCTCAATAGAATAGTTCTGCCTCTTCCCACAGTTCCAGTTTCACTCCAGGCTGACTGTCACAGCTGGCTCGTGGGCAGCCAGACCTAGTGGTCAGAGCCAGGCTCCACAGTCACGAGACAGGAGTCAACAGTTGGTCAGGTCAGGATACTGAGATATCAGAAGCAGGAGACAAAGTTGAGAGCAGAACCAGGAATCGGTAACCAGAGTCAGGCCGGGTCAGGATACCAGGGGGTCAGAGGCAGGAGGCAAACTGTGATCAGAACCACAAGTCGGACACCAGGAGTCAAGCCGTGTCAGAATGCCACGAAGCCAAGCCAGGGAAGCAGGAGCGAGAGGCACCCATTCCAGAACAGGGTGACTCTCAGCTGCATGGACAACTTCCTGTTCCTGTGCTGGACAAACACTCTACCTGTAGCCCCCTGTGGACCAATTCTGCCAATCAAGTTCCAGGACTGGAGTCCTC